AGCAATTAACCACTAGGAAGAATGTATGTGATGTGTTAATTATTGAAACTGTCCTACCAATTAGGTTTGAAACTGTCTCATTGCTATTTGTTTCTCAATAAAATTATGGAAAAAAATAAAATCAAAGGGAGTGGTGAATGAGGGCGGGAGACATGAAAAGGAGTAATGTGGGACTGTCCTGCTACAATGCTGTATATGGTTAGATTTCTGGAATTATGTGTAAATATACATAGTTGTTTCTTCCTATTTTTAAATATATTTTAACTTTTTAAATTTTTTTCATCATTTTCTGTAGGGACTTAAACTTTAATGTGTCAATACTTGATAAAAAATACCAGTTCCATATTATGCCTAAGATGTTTGATATTCAGACAGATAGTGAGGTTCAGCTCAACAACCTAGGCTGCATGGTAATAATAATAAGCTTCTGTTCTAGAAGATTAAAAACCTAAGCTTTCAGATCAAAAATTAGAGAAAAAGAATGGCCACAAGAGCAGCCAACATTTTGGCCCTAGCCTTCCAAGGTCAATTAAGACTCAGGACAAATGAGAACCTGTAGTGTAACATCATATAACTCAGTTGTGTCCCAAATTTTCTCAGCAAGGAGATTATGGGGCCAAAGAAGAAAGTGATCAATGATGTAGAGTGTGCCTGAGGATAGTCATGGAGAGAAAACATTCTCTCAGGCTTTCACAGAGAGCAAATTGGTCAAGCAATGGCCATGACTCATGCACATGGCTGACACTGATAAAGGATCTACCAACTGAGGTACAGGGTCTCAGGATAAATACTGAAGGGATTTCACTGACCTTATCAAATCCAAAAGCTAAGTTCTTGTTACATAGGTCTTGCTTTATCTTGTCTTAACCATCCAGCAGAAAAGTGTAAAATGAAGTATAAGAAGTAAAGCCATTTTGTTATGTTGAGCTATAGGGGACTCAGGTCAACCACTTCTGACATTGTCAATCATGTGGAAGACCCAATACTATTATGGACTACTGGACTCTTTTGGAATATTTTGCTGAGTTCACATACCTATAATATTTAAATGATGGAACTAAACAAAAAAGGGGAAACAGATGAATGACCATTTTGTATCTGTGTATTCAAAATAGTTAGGATAGATATACAGCTACATTCTCTCAATTCAATGAATAGAAGGATTTGTTCTAATAGTGTTTGTAAATAGGATATCATGTCTGCATCTTGTATAACAAATAACCACTAGGAAGATAGTATGTAATGTGTTAATTATTGAAACTGTCCTACTAATTTGATTTGAAACTGTCTCATTGCTTTTGTTTCTTAATAAATTATGAAACAAAAGAGCTACAAAGGATTAAAAAATATGAAGAAATAAAAGGAATAACCTTTCTGTGAGCAAAGTACTTCAAGTCTTATAAGAAAACAAATTCCAACCCAGACTGATATACCCGGCAAAACTCTCTTTCAAGCGTGAGTGAGACAAGAACGTATCCCAATGTGTGCCAGAGAGCTTAGAGTGAACAATTAATAACAATTCAACTTTGAGTGGCTGAGGTTTTCCATATCACTAATGTCATGGTGAATTATCTGAATTGAACTGAACATTAAATCCGCAAAGTTATTTTTATCATCTGTTTTAATTGTCAGGGAAGCTTAAAGTAGTGATTCTACACTCTGTATAATGAAGCAGGCCTAGAGACCTTTGGCCCTGGCTTGTTCATGGCTGAGTTCGTCCTTGGACTCTCAAATATTTGTTTCAGCACACTAACACACTAAATATCAATCAGTTAACAAGTCAGTTAAATATTAGACTTTTCTTTGTCATAGTAAACTGCTAATATTGTGCCAATATTATTAAAGCTTTGCATTTGATTCTGGTTATTAAATAGTAGAAATAAAAAAAAATTTCAACTCTTTTATGTTGTTTAAGAGAAATCTCTAAAATCTTATTTTATAGTGTTCATAATATTTATAAAGGGATTTACACTAAGTGCTTGTCAATTTGATGATAGGTACCATAAGAAACATGGCATTTTATAATTCATTTCTCACATAACCTTGCAACTAATCAGCCTCCTCCTGGGGAGTTTCCTGTGGAGCCACACACATGATAGATACTGTTCTCAAACTGTTTTGAAGTGTAAGAAATACCTTAATGCTGTGTCATTTGATATTGCAACTAAGGGAAAGCCTCCACTTTTTATGGGTTTAACTTACTGGACATTTTCTTCTACTTCCCTCTCCCTTCAGGTATTTCCTGGGCAGCTTTCTAGGAAGTACAGCTCATGCTCAAACATATTGCTAGATGACAGCACCCTCAGCCAGCCTAATCGGAGAAACACAGTGCAGTCGTGAGTACAGGAATGCAGCAGAGGCCTGAGTGACAGATCTCCTACTGCTAAGACATCTCAGTCAAGCTTAGTATTTTCAGCCATGTGATTATTCACCTTGTTTATGATACAACATTGGGGCCACCTATATAATTGATTTGAAAATGTGAATTTTCAATTTTTG